TTGAAGGAAACAGGTTTTTATTGACAGGGTTCAGCCTTTAGGAAGCTGAGAGCACTTCTGCTTAGAGCCCTCCTCTCCTGCAAGACCCAAAGCTTCCCTTGCTCCCCAAAAACTACAAGCCAAAGCCATGCCCAAAAGTTCCCCATATCCTTACCTGTGCATCAGCCAGTCATGCAAACAGATCTCCATCTTCTCTGCAATGTGCCCTTGTGGGTTTCAGAGTCACCATCCTCTCGCAGCAGCTCCTCCTCCAGGATCTGGGGTGCACTGTTCTCGGCCTCTATGTAGTGGTTCAGGGAAAACACGTGCTGTGTTGTACTGGATCATGGTGGAGTCCAGAGAGGCACACATCCTAAGAGCGTGTCTACTGTGTATGTCCATTGGAAAAGCAGAAGCCTGCAACTCAGCATTCCTGGTCATAGTTCAGTCCCGAGCATCTCCTGAGCCTGGGTGGTCCCCGCAGGTCCATCAAGCAGACCTCCTCTCACTATCTACCTCGTGGCTCTCTCCCAGACATTCAGACCTCCCAGGAGACCTCCTCTCTTTTAGACTGCCCTAATTTAAACACTGGCCCAGAACTTCTTGTGTGACTTCATATCTGGCCCTTCCTATGGTATGTTAGTGTATGCCATTTTCGCCAGTTTCCCAGCACCTTTTACCTTCTCTTGGCTGCCATTTTTAGTCGGGGCAAAAATTCCCAGTGACACACAGGTATACAGGGTGGGCACCGCCCCCCGCCTTTCCTTTTGTGCAGGTGCAGTATGAGTTCAGCAACACCAGGCCCCCCCTCTGCACCTGTTGCTGTATCAGGAACCATTGAACATTTTCATAGTGGCAGCCCTCTTCTCTTCAGAAAGGCATGGCTATTAACTTGCCATTATTATGTGATGTATCTTAAAGTTGTAGCATCCACTCTTCCCTTCCCCTAATCAAGGACTGTGGGCTTTATGCACTACCCCCTGTTACAAGAATACAGTATCCTGCCCTATCTTTCCCACTGGATTATTACAAGGATCAAATGAGGCCCTGTGAGAGAAACCATTCTGCAAGTGAAAACACGTTGCATAATATGTCTTTAAATAGTTTCAATACTCACTTCATAAGTGAAAGCACTGAACAGGTACCTCTCAAACCTCATTTTGATCCTTAAAATTTGGACAGCATCTGGGATGAGGAGACAGTCCCTACAGACTTCAAGGTTTACATGAAACCATTCAGCAACTGGGACATGAGAAATTTAACCACCCTTAAAAATGACTATTTTGAGAAATTAGGCCAAACATTTCACTTCTGAAAAACTGATGTGTGAATTGTGTTGCCTAAGGTGTCCTTTGTTCTCAAGTATTAGAGATGCTAGGTGCCAAATTCTTCTGAAATAGTTCCTAAAAGACAGGGATCTGCATGCAATAATAGGAAACACTTTTATTGAAAATAGAAGTAGGTGGGAGCCTTCAGGGGAAGCTCTTTGAGAAATCTCAGGAGACCGTAATACATTTTCAGTTTCAAGTTATCAGAAGCCAACTTAGTCTCACCTAAGGAAAGATGGGGAATTTATCTTAAAGAGGCAGGGTTGTCTCTTGGAACTAGAGGGCAACAATGCAACCAAACCTCAGGAAGTGACCGGAAGCAGAAATGTTCAAAGCCATGTGACTCCTCCAGTTATTGTTTCCATTTGTGTGTGTGTGTTTCTTGCCTTGCTTGCTTTCTGTTTATGTGGAGTGAGTCTCTACACCCCCAGTCTGTGATGGTGAGAGGTGGTCGTGCTTCACCTCCAGGTTGCTGTTAGAGGCCTGCAGTATCTTGGTTCTTTGTTTTAATTGCAAATATCCTGGGATGGAACCGTATGCAACAGATGTCTGCTTTGGTTCAGTCAGAGGTAGTCAGTGATTTCAAAGATATGCCAAGAAGGCATTTCAGTGTTAGAGGGGATATGGTTCCTTGAGAAAGAAATTAGGGGCATTAACTTAATTTGAGGAGCAGATACTCCGAAAGATGTCCACTGAAGGGTTCCAATAAAAAGATGCCCCTCCTGCTTAATAGTTTATGGCTGTAGAGTTTGGGTATAAAACTTGGATTAGGGGAATAGGGTGGCCATGTCACCTCTAAGAGTTTTATTTCAAAGATGTTGACCTTTCTTATGCCCTTCATCTGGAACCTGTGTTTTCACCGCCTTTGTCCTCCCTAGTGTGGAAATAGTGACTAATGAATGTTCTGTTCAGTGTTGGTAAATGGCTAATATGGCCCTTTAAAAAAAAATTGTGTACATTGCCAATTTTTGCCCCTAGATATAGTGAAAATCTTTCCAGTGAAGTGAGTTTTTCAGATCATTGCACTTTCTGTAAATACTTATTCTGTCAAAAGTACGTTGGAAATCTTTGGAATAAAAAGGAACATTTGTTCTTTCACTTACTCCTCCCCTGCATCCCTATCACACGGCTGGTCACATGACAGCTGTCCCACAACTGTCTGATACAAGGGCAAGGTGGAATCATAAGAAAGACGTGGGGTTGAGAGTGATCCGGGAGAGAATCCTTCGATCTAAAAGCTGGAAAGGAACTTAGCATCTTAAACTAATGTGGTAGGCTGAACAATGACCCCTGCATAGGTCCATGTCTTCCTCTTTTGGAACCTGTAGATGTTACCTTACATGATGAAAGGAAATTTTTTAGTACAATTAAATTAAGGGTTCTGGGATGGGAGATGATCTTGGATTATCTGTGTGGGTCCAATGCAATCATCATGCTTCTTATAAGAGGAGAAGGCGATAAGATGACAGGAGCAGTAATGTGCTTTGGAGATGGAGCAAGAGATGGATCACAAGCCACGAAGAACTAGCAGATGTGGACTTGCCATTTCTTACATTGCAGGGGAGTGCACTGATAGGGGTGGGCCAGTGCGAGAAAGGCCACGCCTCCTCCCGTCTGAGGCTTGTTATGAGGGGTCCCAGACGAAGGAGACACATGTCCTGTGTGTGACTCTAAACTACATTGCCTCAGTGTGAGCATGCAGAAAGAAAGACCAAGAGGCAGTCACAGGACAAGAATCTGCTCCCGAAAGGGGATAGAAGGGAATTATAATCCATTCCCCAAACAATGTACATTCCTTCTGGCCTGGAGCTCTCTGTCCAGCCTTCAGTCATGGGGATGCCAAAGGCAAGGAGACAGACTTCCCCTTCAGAACCTCCAGAAGGGACCAGCCCTGCTGACACTTTGACTTTAGCCAAGTGAAACAAACACGAGTAGAGCTCCCCAAGTGAGGGCCACACGCCAGACCAGTCAGCATGGCTGTTTTAGTTGGCCAGCTGAGTATCCCGAGAAGGAAAAGAAGCCAATATTTAATCATTGGTATGCTTCACATAACAAAAGATAGGATTTCTGGTTTATCTGGAAAAAAAAAGAACCCAGAGATCTAGAAATATGGGGTCCGCATTTCTGTGTGGCAGCCGTGCCCCAAATCTGTGTGGCAGCTCCTCCCATTCCTGGGATTCTTGCCCCTTAACTGCGGTCTCCTCCACTCCCTGTTGCACCTCGAATTTAGGCTGGATCATCAAGAGAAGAGTGCACTCGGTTCTTCCTTAGTAGAGGACTTTAAGGCTGCACTCATATCTGCAGACAGGCTGAAAGGGTTGCATATTTAAAGAAAACAGTTGTGATAAATGGACCCTACTAAGATGTTAACAAAAGGGAAGATTGAGTGTGGGTACCAGTTTCACTGCTTTTTGGTAAATCTTAAATTATTCTAAAATTAGAATATTACTAAATGAAATCAAGCACATTTCTTTATAAAAGTGGACAATATTATTATGTATTAAACATGAAAACAAAGTGCTTCTCTGTTGAAAGAATATTCCTTCGTCTGTTCCCCTCATTGCATTACCCTCTCAGTCTCTGTGAACATGAATTTGTGACCTCCAGAAAGGTTCATTTACCAGCAAGGATTCTGAGACCCAGAGAAATAAAATAACTTGCCGAGGATTAGAGAGCTGGCTAGGGGGAAGCTGCAAGTGGCACCTGGGCCGCCTGACTTACTTCTAGCCTAATGCTCTCTTTTCTTCCCCTTTGCTGTGGAAAGTAATGGCATAGGGAGAATATAATAAGGTTGATATCCTGGAATGCACTGGGAATCTCACTTACTTTTCTGGAATCCTCTATTGGAGGAGAGAAGCAGCACCAGCCTCAGAGCAGCCTGCTTGCTTGCCTTTGGCTTTTTTTTTAAAACTTTCCTCATTTATATTTCATATCTGGTGTGTAGGGAAAACATTTGACATTTGTCCAAATACCAAATGTACTTTGGATTTCATCACTTCCATATTAGCGGACTCTGGCTTTGCACAAGAAAATCTCCTCTGCAAAGCAGGAGCCTCAGGGTGTGAGAAGGTGGGAGCCGAGGCTCTTGCTCAGAGCACAGTGGTTGTGACTGGGCCCAGATCTTTGCTGCTGCTGTTTGGTAAAAGCTGGGCCAGGCATCCTGTGCGGGCTCCCGTCCTTCAGGAGGTGAAGAGTAAGGGATTAAGAGACTTCAGAGGTTATGATTACTTCCAGAACACTGTGCATTCATAGCCTTGAGTCCAAGGAGCCTTTGGGGTGGCTGTCTCAGAGCTCACCAGAAAGTCAAGGTCAGCTGGTAGAAGGCCAAAGAGGCTCAGAAATGGGCTGGCTGCTGGCTTCCTCTGGCCTTCTCTCTTCAAGGGTATTTCCACACTAATAGCTTTCTCTGGGATCTAAAGTGGTGAGGGTTACTGAGAGATGTAGCTTTTCTGACATTTCCTGTGGTTGAAACTCAGGAGATATAAGGAGAGAAAGGGAAGGGGAAAATGAACAATAATGGTAGCTGCAATTTTATCAAGTGCTCCCTATGTGCTCAGGTACATATTGTATTACATATACAAGTGAAGTGTTTCTGTATGGGAAGAGTATACCTTTGTCTGTTTAATTCATTGCACTATTGTTTGGTAATCTCTAAGCATGAATTCATGACCCCTGGACATTCTCATTTTATAGATGGGGATTCTGAGGCCCAAGGAGATCAAGTAACTTTGCTGAGGATCACAGAGCTGGTCAGGAAGCAACTGTGAGTAGAACCCAAGCCTCCTGAATAGCTTCTAGCCCAGGGCTCTCTGTTCTTTCCTGTGCCGAGGGAAGTGATGGCAACAGGGAGGGTATGATATTAAGGTCAATAATCTGGAATTTATGTTTACACTAGTGTAGGCAGGACTCTGTGCAGGCTGCAAGCAGAAACTCTGGAGCTGATTGCCAGCTTTTGTGTCTGAACTCTACTACTTCATAGTCATGTGACTTGGGCAAATTATTTAACCTTTCTCAACCTCTGTTTCTTCTTCTATAAAATGAAGATAGTATCAGTACCCACTTTAGAGGGCTACATGAGTAAAGCATGAATTAATAAATAGCATGTGGCTCAGAGTAGCTGCCATATAATATTAGCTCCCATTGTGACATAGTTATACGTAGTATCCCTATTTTGAAAATTGGGACACAAGCCCAGAGAGGTTACACAGTTGGACAAATAGTACACAGAAAGGAGCCACACGGTGGTTAGGGTCAGATCTCTACTGTAAATCATCTATTATATCACTTCTCTTGGGCTTTCTCAGACCAGTATTCCTTGGCTTCTTCTCTGGGTAACTTGTGGTATGTAAATAGAGTTTCTTAGTTCATGTGGGTAAAATATTGGTATTTCTATAGGTCTTAGATCTTTCATCTCTTTTTTTTTAACTTCTTGCCTTGAATTTTTTTCTTGTTGTTTTGTGTGAAAAGAAATATAGGGAATAAATGATGTAAAATCCAAACTCAATAAGCTGACTGGATTATATTGGTAGGTAGTAGCACTGAATGCAGAAAAGAATGCTTTGCCTTACATGGTCTCCAAGTTCATTAAGTAAAAGTAATTGAGCATCACTTGCAAAGGAATGATAACCACAATCTTGAAGCACAGGTCAATGGTGCTGAGAGAGCAGTCAGGCTGTGCTCTGATTGGGACACTTAGACATCGTCATTAGAGCCCAGTATGTGTCAGGCACTGGGCCAGGTGCTCAGAACAAAGCTGTAATACATGTGTTGTCTTCAAAGACCTTCCATTCGAATCTGTTGTCTATGGTTATTTAATGTCTTCAGTCCATTCTGTCCTTTCTGAGTTCCCACACTTTATGTAAGTCCTTCACACACAGCACAATAGCATTCAAGACTGTGGAAGTGCCAGTCTGGACACTGTGTTATTCAAAGAGCAGTTGAGTGAACTGCTAATCTTTATACTGGAAGCAAGAACATAGTTGATCCCCTTACTTGAATGGTGTTCAAGCAGAAGTGGGATTAAACTTGTTTTAGATGATTCTGGGAGGTAAAACTGGGTGGAAATTGCAGGGAAAGGATTTTCAGTTCAGTCTGAATCAATCAAATTGAACCACTGATGGTAACTGCTAAGTGCCAAGGGTTTACCCAGAAGTGAGGCAGACAAGGGTCCTTGTATCTACAGGGCCTTAACTTATTATTTTGATCACCAGAGCTGCAGCCTAGTTTTGGCATAAAGATGTTGTAGAGAATATAGATGGATGTGATAGTCTATGCTTTGTAGGGGGCCATGTTTGAATGAGCTAGTTTGGTTGGCAAAGTGTTTTCATGGCATGTTGAGAGATATTCCAAAGAGTGGCTGAAAAATAAGAAGTACAGGCTTCTAATTCTGATCCTGCTGTGGCCTACGTGATCTCAGGCCTCACTGTTAATATCTGGTAAATGGAAACATTAAACTGGATGGCCTTTAGTCCTCTCTCTCCTCCATGGTTCTATTCATCTTTCATTTTGTCCTTATATCTTTGTACAATGAAAAAATATAATCATATCTGTTCTTGAAGAACAGGCAGATTTTTATGAGAGGCCCACTCATTTAGTATGTACTCCGTTTAAGTATTTCAATTGGATGAAAAGAAGTCATTTGGAAAGAATAGTCTTTTTTTAGGAATTGATTTTTAATTTTTTCCAAGCTTTATTGAAATGTAATTGACATACAACAGCATGTAAGTTTAAGGTGTACAATGTGATGATTTGATGTAATGGTGAAATGACTACCACGATTAGGTTAGTCAACGGAAATGTCATCTCACATAGTTACCTTTTTATTCGTTTCTTTTTTCGGTGATAGAGCCCTCTAAGCAACTTTCAGGCGTAAGATACACTATTGTTAACTCTAGCCACCATGCTATGCGTTAGATCCTAAGACTTACTAATCTTATAAATGGAAGTTTGCATCCTTTGATGACCTTTACTCATTTCCCTCCCTGCCCCTGCCCCTGGCAACCACCAGTTTATTCTGGTTTTGTGAGTCTGTTTTTAGATTCCACATAGATGTGAGATAACACAGTGTTTGTTAATCTCTGTCTGACTACCCCTCTTCCAGGAGAGCTGGATCAGTGGAGTGTAGCAATCCTCTAGCCCACACTGGCTTGTCCCTTGGGTATGTTGTACGCACAGACTTTTTGGATGTCTTGGTCCTTCAGGACAAGGGTAGGCAGCCCGAAATGTCCATTGCTCTTTATTCTTTTATTTTACCGAAGGAGAAGTAGCTGGGCCCCAGGCCTTACATGGTACAGTCAGTGCTGTCTCTGTTACCCTTGCCTCAGTGACATTCAGTGGCTACTGGATGTGTACACAGGAGTCTGTCTGGTAAGCAGAGCCGGGCACTCTCACTCTCCTGTACACCAGCTCCTTGAAGATGTGTGTATCTGGGTACTGGGCCTGGCTGGGTCCTTGTACCCCAGATCCTGAAGAGGTTAGGAAGAAGAGTGTTAGGTTGTAAAATTCTGGAGTTTTCTTTTTGGCTTAGTCAAAATGGGGAATTAAATTAGGGATTTAATACTGCTTGCTCCAGCATTTGTTCTCTGAAGACCCGCTTTTAGGATCCTCAAGCACAGGAAGTTGACCTCATCAAGGAACTCTCACATTATACCACCTTTCTGAACTGTCTCGGAAGTGTTATAGAAAAATATAACTGAGTACCCACATATTTAATATTTCTAAAACTCTATAAAACTTGGAATGTATATGGCAGAAAAGAATGTGAAAATAAAGCAATAAAGAAGATAAGACTTTTGGAATTTTAGGATTCTTTAAATACTGATTAATCTGAAGCTATATTAATGACAGATAAAAATCCTAAAACATTTGAACCACCCAGAAAAATATTTCCAAGTACTCTTTTCTAAGTATATTTAAAAGAGGAATAACACTCATAAGCTAAATTACTGATATTTTGTCTAAGATGTTTAGGAGTCTCACATCAGATTCTGGACATTCTGTTGTCTTTTTGGTTCTTTCTTGCCCGTGATTTAAATTCTGTATATTTGCAGGGTCTTAATCCAAAAGTATATGACACAGTTTCAATATTAGCTCATGTAGTTCAGGTCAAATTTTTTTCACTCATTGACTTGTCCATTCAGAAAATAATTTAATGGAGAAAAGGGACTATTGATAATTCATTTCCCTAAATGCAGAAAGGTGGGTTCCACTGATCAAATTCACTTAATATCAAATAAAGCATATTCACATTAAAATTCAGCCACTTTAAATTTCAGTTTATTGAACACCTGCGCAGACAGATGATTCAGAGAAATGGCAAAGAAGAAACACTTTTCCTTTTAACTGGTCTATTATGAATAAATGAGAAGAATGTCCACCATGATTGAATACGTCCATCTTCATTTCCTCAACAGCATAAAGCAGGGAGTGTACGTGCTGATTCTTTTTGGTTCGAGTTTATAGGTATTGATTGTTCTCAGGGTGCTTATTGGTGTTTGTATGAAAGGGGACCAATAAAATTAATTTGGCTGCTTACATTTTTATTTAGCTTTAAAATGAATTTTGGTACTATCCCTACTGCAGAGGTATGCCTTTTATTAGTGCATTTGACTTTTGGAGATTTGACAATATTCCATGATTAAATATAGATATGTATTCATGTCTATCCCTCAATAGGTAAAGCTAGCAGAAAAATACTCTTAAAATGGAGAGTTGATGCATTACTGAAGCATTCACTTACATCAATCTGAGCTGTCCCAGATTTGTGTTACATAAATTAAATCCAAACCCAGACATCTTGGTAGCTTGGTGATTAACCTTAATCACAACACAAACAGTATTGGCTAGTTTTAATGATCATTTAGATTTTAAAAACCAAAATTCTGTACATAAGAATTCACTTTTTGTTTTTCTGGTTTAACAAAAATGTGGTAATACATTTGATTACTAGAAGACTATTTCAAAGGCTGTGTTCATGGGTCTATATAATTAGTTACTTATCCCTGTTTGTAATAGACACATACTTTCTGAGAAACCAAATTGACAAGCTGGAAACCTGTAGAAAACAATAAGGAAAAACTCTTTATTGAGAGCCTCAATTTGATTTTTAGATCCTGAAAATCAGTCATTTGTAAAATTACCATGCCTACTTGATGGTTATGGGAGTGGAGGTCTGTAGCCTACTGGTTTGGCTGAGGAACACCATAGACAGAGGCAAGTCTCAAGTTCACCACTTACACAAAACCACGTGTACCTAATACTTGGCAGATTTGTTGGGTATTCAAATGTTCTAGGGCTTAACTGGTGCTTAAAGTAAAGAAGTATTTGAATAGATAGAATGATCAAATCTTGTTAAAACTGTCTAAACACAATATATTGGGGGAAAGAATTCTAAAACAGTCATTCAGAATGAAATATAACAGCATATTCACTCCTTTAGCTCGTCATTTTAAACATGACTATAGGTTTTTCTTTCATATCTTTAACTTGGTGAACTCAGAATTCCTTCCAAGTGTTCCTTTTGGCTATGTTGAGAATGGAGGGTCAGAAAGATGAATAATACACATTTGTCACAGAACAGATTGAAATTTCTTGATCTACATCACCAGCCCTATCAATTCTTCCTCTGGCTCCTGCTCACTACTAGTCTCCCTAATCCCAACCCCAATCACTGATTTAGCAACAGAGGACTATTCTATCTTTAATTTCGCCTCACATCTACCATGGAGTGAAAATCTCCAAAGACTCTTCAGCCTCCATAACCCG